CACTCTCACAAAATATTTTTATTTTTTATAATAATTTATATTATATATAAATATATTTAATATATAAACGTATTTTTCTTAAATATACACAGCACACACACATATATTATGTAAACAATTTTTTTGTATTTTGGACTAAATTCCACAGTGCTTTATTAATGCCATGATCTGAAAATAAAAATAATGTCAGCCAACATTAATCAGTCTATGTGAAGTCTGAATACTAAAACAGGCTAATAACAATAATAATGATAATGTTTCATGACATTTCAGTGTATATTAATGCTCTATGAAGCAGTGTGTTGATGATTATTATTTGTCATTCTTCAGTATTCTGTGATCTAAATACTGTGGTAACGCCATAATACTGGATGATGCGATATTTACACAGAAATAAAAGGAACAATGGTAGTGTAAAGAAACATGGTAATGCCATACTAATTACTCTCTCTCTCTCTCTCTCTCTCTCTCTCTCTCACACACACATACACACACACTCACTCCCAGTGCTCATTTAAGAGGCTGTATAGTGTAATTGAATATAAAAGGTCAGTATTGTAATTATTGCTGGATAAATGAGGGAGATGGCCATCCAAGCACTTCGCTCATCATTTATTGTTTCCAGGCCGTCAAGCCAAAAGGCCAGTCAGTAAATACTCATGAATCGGTCTTTATAAACACACACACACACACACACACACACACACACAGACTAAAATATATTCTGCACACAGTACACAACTGCTTCTACGGTAGCACGATTTAATGTGTTGTTTTACATTATGAATATGAGTTGCCACAAGGGATTCTCTAGTTTGTGTCCTTTTTCTGTTCTTTATTTCTGCCATAGCTAGAAAAAATATATATTTTATTGTATTACTCTATACTGTAATAATGTATCTGATGCATTATATAGACCATAATTTGCACAAGGAGAGTTTTTGAACAAGATGAGGAACATCCAGTTTATCAGTTTAAGAAATAATTAACAGATTATTTGATAATCAAAATTAAAAACTACAATCCATTTAATGACACAAGGATTTGAACTCTATCGCCCCCCATTAAGTACTGATATTTGTTATTACTAAAAGTAAAGGCAGTGTATATGAAATCAATAATGATAACATTCAATAATTATATTTAAAGAAATTGATTATCTATCTATCTATCTATCTATCTATCTATCTATCAATTATAGTTATATAATTTATATTTATATACAGCAGGGATGCATTAAATTGATTAAATAAAGACAATTATAATGCTACAAAAAGATTCTGTTTCAAATAAATTCTGTTCTTCATCAAATAATCCTGAAAAAAAAAAATTCGGTTTGATTATAAGATTTTTTATATATATATATATATATATATATATATATATATATATATAGACAGACAGACAGATGATAGATAGACAGACAGACAGACAGATGATAAATAGATAGACAGACACAGACAGATGATAGATAGATAGACAGACAGACAGACAGATGATAGATAGACAGATAGATAGACAGACAGACAGATGATAGACAGACGGACAGACAGACACAGACAGACAGATGATAGACAGATGATAGATAGATAGATATACAGATAGATAGATAGATAGATAGATAGACAGACAGATAGATAGATACATTAGATATCTACAGAGCGAAAGTAAAAAAAGTTCTACAGAAAGTAAATATGTATATGTTGTATTATGATAGATAGATAGATAGATAGACAGATGATAGATAGATAGATCCAGACAGACAGACAGACAGACAGATAGATATATCCATAGACAGACAGACAGACAGATGATAGATAGATAGATAGACAGACAGATGATAGATAGATAGATAGATTAGATAGATAGAACCATAGACAGAGATACAGATAGATAGATAGACAGACAGATAGATAGATAAGATACATAGACCCATAGACAGACAGACATACAGATAGATAGATAGATAGATAGATAGATAGATAGACCCACAGACAGATAGACAGACAGACAGATAGGTATATAGACAGATGATAGATAGATAGATCCATAGACAGACAGACAGATAGA